AGGTTTGCTCCAGACGGCTCCAAGATGGCCCAAGCTGGCCTCCAAGACGGCTCAGATGGCCTGAGGTGGTTTCCAAGTTCGCCCAAGATGGTCCAAGATGGTCCAAGATGGTCCAAGATGGCCTCCACAACGGCCCAGGAGGGTCCAAGATGCCTCCAAGTCGGCCCAAGAAGCCTCCAAGACGGCCCAAGAGACCCCCAAGAGGCCTCCAAGACAGCCCAAGAGGCCTCCCGGAGGTCCTCCAGGAAGGCCCGACGAGGCCAAAATCATTGATTTGTGTTGAGGTGTTTGAAGGATTTTCGTATTTGCTCCTTTTCCGCCTTCCGACGGCCCAAGATGGCCCAAGAGGCCCCAAGATCGCCCCAAGAGCGCCCAAGAGGCCTCCAAGATGGCCTCAAGACTGCCAAAGAGGCCCCCAAGACGGCCCCAAGAGGGCCCCAAGACGGCCTAAGAGGCCTCTAAGACGCCCAAGGAAGCCTCCAAGACGGCCCTGGAGCACCCCAAGAGGGCCCCAAGCGAGCCCAGAGAGGCCCCCAAGACGTCTTCCGACGGGGTCAGAGGGGCCAAGAGCCGAAGATGGCTCTAAGGTGGCCCAAGAGGACTCCAAGAGGGCCTCCAAGAGGGCCTCTTGACTTCCTTTAGTTGTTTTAGTTCTTTAGTTCCAAGAAGGCCCGACGAGGCCAAAATCATTGACTTCCTTTAGTTCGTTTCGGCCTACCGACGGCCCGCGACGGCCCAAGAGGCCCCAAAGATCGCCACAAGATCGCCCAAGAGGCCGCCAAGATGGCCCCAGAACGGACCAAGAGGCCCCCAAGACGGCCCCAAGAGGGCCCCAAGACGGCCCAACGGGCATCCAAGACGCCCAAGATCGCCTCCAAGACAGCCCTGGAGCACCCCAAGAGGGCCCCAAGCCGGCCCAGAGAGGCCCCCAAGACGACTTCCGACGGCGTCGGACGGGCCAGGAGCCCACCAAGACGGCCAAAGAGGCCCCCGAGAAACCCCAAAGGCCCTCAAGACGCCCAAGGAGGCCCCCAACATGCCTCCAAGAGGCTCCCAGGAAGCTCCCAGGAGGCCCCAAGAGTGTCCCCAGAGGCTTCCAAGATGCTCATTCCTCCTTCCTCCTCCTCCTCCTCCTCCTCCTCCTCCTCCTCCTCCACCATTTCCGCCTCGTCCTGATATTCCCCGCCATCCTCCCCCAAGTGTTCCCCGAACGGTTTCCACAACGGTTGGGGGAGCACATGGTCAGATAGCTTGGCAGAGTTTTTGCCACAACGCTCGGCCACATGGGCGATTCTAGAAGGCAGGGTGCGGCGGTGATTCGCAGTAGGCGTCTTCGATAATCATTATACTGGAATTTGAACGTACGCCCGCCGTTAGTACAACGTGGGTTCTCGCCCTCTCCCCTGTGCGTGTACGGCGAACATTGAAAATGTCAGCCGCAGAAGTGGCTGCTGCCGATGAGAAGCGCCGCGATTACCGTGGGCCCTGGGGGCATTTTTGGCCAGCACACGGCAGTTTGTCCAAGAGGGCCCCATCACGACGGCTCCAAAACATCTTTTGACAGATGCCCGCCGAATTGCACGTGGGTTTTGCACCGTTTCCCCGCTCCTATTCTCGCGCACCACATCCTGCAATAACCGAAGACTCGCGCTCCGCGTCGCAACAGGTCCTGTCCCCGCATATCGTTCTGTCGCAGCCGAAGGCTTGCGCGCCGCGCCGCAACTGGCTCTTCAAACACACATGTATGCCACGCTGCGCCAGAGAGGAACCCGAGCCCGGATCGCCCTTTGCCCCCCGAGACCCATGATAACCGCCCATGAAGCTCCAAGAGGCCCCCCATAGGCCCCCATGAAGCGCCCAACAGAGCACCAAAAGGCCCCCCAAAAGGCGCCCAAGAGGCTCGCAGGAGCAACCCGCCACAACCGCCGGTCCCCCAAGGGGTCGACGGTGTGCCGTAAGCCCAAGAATCAATGGAAACTGGAACTGGTCAGGGGTGCGTGAAGCTGTGGCAAAACTGTTCACGGCTGAAGATAGCCGCACCTGCCCCTCACACCTCCTCCTCTCTTCTTCCTCCTTCACTCATTTTCCGTATCAATCACTCCTCCCTGTCGCGTCCCGAGGCCAGTCGGAAGGACGGGCCAGGCGTTTCGCCTGAGTCTTCTTTAGCATATCTGATCCTGAAGCTTGAAATTGGCTACAGCTTCACAACAGGATGGCGGGCCGTTTCCAAAATGTTGTTCTCGCTTTAGCGCCGCGCAGACTCGTTTTCAGAAATTGCTAAAGCTTCACGGATGTTGGGCGGGCCGCTTTCGAAATGTAGCTCTCGATTCAGCGCCGCACACATTCGTTTCAACAAATGCAAAAGCTTCACGGACTGAGAGCGGGCCGTTTTCGAAACGTGAATCTCGCCTTAGCGCCGCGTGTATTCTTTCTACAAGTTTGCAAGAGCTTCATCATTTGAGGGCGGCCCAGTTTCAAAATGTGATTCTGTCCTCAGCAA